CCTCCCCTTCGTGTGTCGGATGACCTGCAAAAGGGGCTGTTTTATGACCTGCCTCGCTTTTCCTTTCCCCGCGCCACTCGCCTCCTTTATTCCAGCGTCTCCTCCCCAAGATACACGTTAACCTATGGACCCATTGATCCTGACGTTCGCGGGACATTCCTTACACGTATGCACAAAGAGACACGCGTACACTCCTATACGCGCCACAAAAGAACAACCCGAGTTCGTCCCACCCCGATGAAAGCACCCCGTTCCGATGCACAACTTCCATATACATAATTCATGCACAGTGGAGAGAGAGAGAGGCGCGCGCAACCCCCGCCGCCTCACCTTAGCCGCGGCCGCCCGTCCTCCAGCCATGCCCGCCCCTGCTCCATGGCTCAGAACTAGCGAAGAAGCCCGCCCCGCCCCTCGCGTCCTTATTGGCTCCGTCTACCTGTGACCATAGAGAGGCTGACACAGCGAGGACAGGGAGGAGGAGGAGGCGCCGCGCCCCCTAGTGCAGCTCCACCAAGGTCTGGCAGAGAAACGAATGTAACCATAGAGCTACTACACGATAGAGGAGCAGGCCCCAGAAATGTATCTTGGTACAGTACTAAATCCACGCGGGCGGGGAGTGGCATTACCTTATACGTATTGTACTTTTGGCCACCCCTTCGTGGGCTGCCTGTCCCATGCTGGTTATTGTGACCTAGAAAGTCCTATACAGTATTGTTTGGGTCCAGGCTATCTGGAGCACCGTATTCCTCCTATGAGCCCTCCGTCCCACCGCCATCCTCTCCGGCATGTAGGCAGGAGAGAGCCTGTGGCTGCCCCGTTGGGCCCTTCCCTCTTCCCCCCAATTTTTAGGCTTTTAAAAACTAATTGAATAGCTTTTGATCTCATGTACTAGACACTATTATGTGCATTTTAAGGTTTTTAAAAAAAGTTTTAAGTACTGTAATTTTTTTAATACTGTCATATGTTTGGTTTTGTATTGTAATTTATTGTTTTGTTCAAGCTGTATTTTAATACCAATTTATGGGCTGCCACAAGTCCCTTAATTGGGAGAAAGGTTGCATACAAATTAAAAGAAATAAATAACTTGAGGCTCGCTTATAACACAGTAGTGTATTGCATCCTGACCTGGAGTGCTCAAGTTCAGGGATCTGTAAACCAGAACCTCTTCTTGCTTATTTCATTGCATTCTCCCTCATCCACCATCCCCAACAGTCAGACCATCAAATAGATGCTTAGTCTTTGCCAAGTTGTTTTCAGGTTGCCTACTTTTAATTAAATATTTTAATACATATTTCCTCAAGACTGCTGATACTTCGTCTCTTATGCATGGAGAATGCATCTTTGGTGAGAATTAGTTTGCTGTTTGTACCACTTTTGATGCCCAAATCAGACCCACCCTCCGTTTTATATGTGAAATGATCAGACATATTAACATGGCAGCCTCCCCATCAAATCAAGTTGATTTTCACCTTTTTTGCCTCAGGGTGAATGTTGTCTGCACTTACCTTGAAGGGCTCCCAGGAATGAACTATGCTGTAACATCTACAGAGGGTCCATTCAGCTGCCAATTTTTAAAAATCAGATTGGAATTATTTATCTCAATGTGGGAACTTAATTAATCTTTACAATCATAATAACACTATTAACACTTGAGTTTCCACACTGTGAAGAATTTCCATTCAAACAATAGAGTTGGGAGCTTTTATAAGCTGTGACAATGATGTCTGGAACAAAATAAAAAAACAAATAGAACAAATGCTTAAATTTAGATTTCTTATGTGAAGTTCTTGTTCCTTCTCTTCAGAAACTAAGGTTATTTTTTTGTTCATCATTCATATTATTCCATCCATAGGATTTAACAAGTTATACATACATAGGGGTCTCAAGTGGTTGCAATCCACGTGCTGATCAGATCCAGATGTCCTTAGCTTTAGGAAGGTGAATGTATTCCACACATACAGACCATGCCCTAGAACCACTGAATTCCCGGAGGTTTTAGAACAAAGGTTTGTGGACAATTATTAGGCAAGGAATCAACAAACCAAATAAATATCAAAGCCAGGGCAAGAGTGAGGCGACACAACAGACCACAGGGCATTTGTATCTTTAACATGTAGGAAGGAGGATTTCAGTTTATCGTACAGTGGTGGAAAAAGCATCTGCAGACATTCTTGCTTCTGTGTATATCTTCTCTTCCTTCATAGATAGTCACTTTGCAAATTGAAGAGCTCTCAAATCCAACAGAAGTCTCTATTGTCCACACATCAGACTAGCTCATGTAATCTACTCCATTTTACTGGAGACAGCAAGAAAATACCAGCAATGTAACTATCCCTACCTGGTTAAAACAACTGTGTCAAGCTGAATGCTACAGCCAAAATTTAAAATGAAATAAAATTTTAAAAGTAGATTTCCCAGCAGAACAGAATCTGATCTCAGTTTGAGTTCTTATTCATTCTTTGTATCTCAAATAATAAATAATACTTACGCATTTCACAGTTTTGCTCAGGGAGCTGTTTTCTAGGCATTATACTGAAACAAAGTTAGTGTCTTATTCCCCAGCTCCCGCCACAAAACAAGGAAAGCCCACATCTCTTCCATATATACAAGTGTCTCTGATTGATAAGATAAGGGAGTTTCTGACTTGCTAGTTCTCAGAATGGTAATGGGCAGGGTTATTTGAAATACTGCAGCCAAACCCATTCTGCCTCTACCTGTAAAAAATTTGTAACTACACACAATTACATTTAGTAAGGACAGATTGCTCTAAAAATAATTATGCAACTGACTCATGATTAATGGAGAATTAATTGGCCACAGGGAACTTTGACACCAGGCCTGTTCACTGCTGCGGTTGATAGTCCAAGACTTCGCTGCAACAGGATTATTCTTAATGTTACTGATACTGTGATGGGGGTTTAAAAAGCCATTTGGTGAAACTTGAAGCACCGTTGCCATTATTTCCTCGTAAGATATTGTGAACTTTGAACTGGCTTGGGCTGATTTGTGGGTGGGTTTCTTTTTCTTTATTTTGATTAGTATCAGAACTTGGCAATGCTACACATTTTCCATTGTTGGTGCACACAATCCAGATAAGTCCCATTAGGCAGATCAATATAACACAAAGGGTGTCACTGATCAGTGCTATTTGGAATGTCCAATTCTGGGAACAGAGGGTTTGCATATCCAGTACAGTATTAAAAGCTTTGTTCTCTCTACTACGAGTGAGGAATCTTGTCTGTCCATGTGTTTTGAACTACACCTGCTGCAATTCTTTGATGTGGCCATTCTAGGCTTCCTAGAGATGAAATTCCAAACGAGTTTATAGAGCCAAGGAGTTCCTTATTCTTCATGTATAATATCATCTCCAAGTTCCGTCCATTACTTCTTTACCAAAGGAGTGAATAGTAGCCAGTACTTCTATAAGAGATTGTGAATGGGTAAGATTTCCAAAGAAATGACTAAGATAAGGATAGAAACTGCTACTTGCTTTTGATGAGAACTCAACCACTGGGAATCAAGATTTTTATCTGCATAATTCCATTTTAGTGCATCTACTCTGTGATGGAATGTTAGACCTCAGCTTTGACACATAGGCATCCTTCAGTCTCGAGAGACTATGGTAACATGCTCTGTATCGAGAAGTGTCCTCTCCAGAGCATGAAGCCTGGGTAAAGTAGTATTTGGTGCACACAGTCCAGATAAGTCCCATTAGGCAGATCAATATAAGATAAATGGTGTCACTGATCAGTGCTATTTGAAATGTCCAATTCTGGGAACAGAAGGTCTGCATATCCAGTATTAAAAGCTTTGTTCTCTCTACTATGAGTGAGGAATCTTGTCTGTCTACGTGTTTTGAACTACACCTGCTATAATTCTTTGATGTGGCCATTCTGGGCTTCCTAGAGCTGAAATTCCAAACGAGTTTATAGAGCCAAGGAGTTCCTTATTCCTCATGTATAATATCATCTCCAAGTTCTGTCCATTACTTCTTTACCAAAGGAATGAATAGTAGCCAGTACTTCTATAACAGATTGTGAATGGGTAAGATTTCCAAAGAAATGACTGAGATAAGGATAGAAACTGCTACTGTACTTGCTTTTGATGAGAACTCAACCACTGGGAATCAAGATTTTTATCTGCATAATTCCATTTTAGTGCATCTACTCTGTGATGGAATGTTAGACCTTAGCTTTGACACAAGGAGCGGGAGAAAGATGCCACCATTCCGCCCTGCAAGGATTAATAAGCAGACATTTTTTAAAAAATTTACACAAAGAATCCTATTTTAATCCTCCTAGAACAGGCTTTCAGACTGTGTTCTGAGAAATGTCAAGGCAGCTGAAAAATTTATCATGGATTCCTCCCAAAGAAGAGTTTGGAAGCACAACTGCTCGCCTGCTTTTGTGAGCGTGGGCACTGAATCCGGAGGTCATGTGGTACATACAACTAATGTCACACTTTTTAGCATTTGCTCCAGTAGAAAAGACAGTGACAGATGAAGATGGTTATTTACTCTGCCTGTGTAGTTCCCGAACCTACACGACAGGAGCAGCATGGAGGGGAGCTACAGGGCAAGCAGTTTCAATGCTGTTACTAATTAAGGGTCCTTCCAAATGGAGCACTTGTTCTCCTTAACTTGCCTGTTTAACTGATGTTATTGATACTTATTTTTCTCACCATCTCTACAAAAACCCTCAACTGACTTACAACTGTCATTTTTTTCTGTGACTTTCAATACCTCTTTGTTCCTCCTGAAAACACATCGTTTTACTATCGCTTCATTCTGATGGGACAGAGTTTAGTCCTGTGCCACTTTCCAGTTGAAGCTGATGCCTGATAAGAGCCTCCTGGTTGGAGACTGTTACGGAGTCCTCCAACAAAAAAATGTTGAGAAGATCCAGTTCTTAAATTTTTTATGAAAAGATTTCTTCAGTCTTAATAGGAGTCCTGTGGCACAGGGACTGAACTGCAGTCAACTCTGCTCATGACCTAAGTTTGATTCCAAATGGCTTAGGCAACCAGTTTGAGATTCATTCAGACTTCCATCCTTCCAAGGTCAGTACCATTGAGTACTCAGCTCACTGTGTGTGTGCATGCGTGCGTGCGTGTAGCCTGCATAAGTTTAAACCAGGGGTGTCCAACCTTTCACCTTCCCTGGGCCACATTAGAAGATGAAAATTTGGTTTGGGCCGCACATACATTTGGTTTGGGCCGCATGGGGGGGGCAACCCTAGCCGTCCTCCGCAGCCCTGCTCCAAGCGCGGTTACCAGTAGCTGCGATCTCAGACAGCAGAGGCTGCCAGCTTCGACTCCAGCGGCTTTATGGGGCCATCTATTGATGGGGATCATGAAAAGATTTCTTCAATCTTAATAGTCCTGTGGCACAGGGATTGAACTGCAGTACTGCAGTCAACTCTGCTCAAGTTTGATCCCAATGGGCTCAGGCAACCAGCTTGAGGTTCATTCAGCCTTCCATCCTTCCAAGGTCAGTACATTGAGTACTCAGCTCA